CCCCCCGGCCAGCGCTGCGCCCACCACAGAAAGCACTAGCAGTTGGCTCCCTGGGGCCTCCTGTCCTCTAGGGAAGTCACAAGTCTCTCTCCAACTTTTCTGAACTCAAGTTCTCTTGTCGGTCCTGGCGAATTTCTTGAATAAAAGAACTCCTTCAGGCCGCTGCTTGGCACACAATGGGCTGCCTGAGTTGGGCTAATGGCCTCGTAGATCCCTGGAGAGAGATACGGGAGGGTGGCCGGGCCCAAAGATGGAAAAAGCTCAGAGGTGGCACAAAAGAGGTTTAGGGGCTTTGGGTTCAGGGAGACCTGGGCTCAGGCCTGGCCGCTGTGGGTCCGACCCTGTGGTCCGCTGTGGGGGGGCCTCTCGGGGGTGCCAGGGTCTGGTCCAGCGCCTGCTCCCAGGACTGCCCCGTGGAGGCCACTGGACTTATTTCACAGGGAGGAGGAGGTCGCCGTTCCTTCCTAACAGGCAGCAGAGGGTGGCCACAACAAGCTGGGCATACCCTCTCTGCTGGCTTGTCTGCAACCCTGGACATCCGGGGCTGAGTCCGTTCCGGGTGCCAAGTGCAACTCTGCTCCTAGGGCCCGGCTAAGGCTGTGGGGAGTGGGTGCGGCTGGGCGGAGCTGAGCCACTTCCTCCAGCCCTCAGCCTTGGTGTCCTGGATGGCCTCAAAGCAGGCGTCTCGCCTGCCTGCCGACGTACACTGGCTGCAAGGGCCCCTGGAGGGCTCCAGGCACTGCCACCTTCTCCTTGCCTTGATGTCATCTTGGGCACGGCTGAAAGGTTGCCCCAGCGCCTGGCTGGGCTCTAGGGTCCGGGTCCCAGTCCGTGCTACGCTAGACCAGTCTGGACAGGAGCCTGGGACCCTGACCTCACCCAGCCCCGTGGGCCACTTGACTGGGCGGGTTCTGAGCTGGCAGAGTCCACCCACAGCTGGCAGGACCTCGAGCCAAAGGCAGCTGGAGATGGGGGTGAGGTGACCGTAGTCAGCCAAGCCAGAAGAGCTGAGAGTGTTTGGGACTTTCCATGCCAACCTGGCCTGGCAGGCAGCTAGCTAGGGGTGCAGAGTCCCAGGTGGCTGAGGCCTGGCTCAGGAGGAGGAGGGCTGTGGCTCTTGGGGCTGATTTGAACAGCAGTGGGACCAGGGAGGGTAAACAAGAGCGCACCGCCCAGAGAAGGCACACAGATGACCGGCGGCCACACAGGAGCCGGCACCAGTCACGGCTGCGTGTCTTCCCTCTGAGCCCACCACAGCGCCCAGCCTGGCAGCTGCAGTGGCGTCCCCTCCTGGCAGGCCACAGTGGCCACGGGCCACCCAGTACGCTGCTTCTGTGGCCTCAGGCAAGCCTGACCCTCTCAGCCTCCTTCGCCGAGAAGTCGTAATGGTGGCAGCTGCAGCTTTCGGTGTGGACTTCGCGAGACTGTCCACGGGGAGCACAGGAGGCCGCTGTCACAGGCCTCACTCGTTGGCTTGGACCTCAAGGTTTGGGGGGTGAGACGGGGGTGCCCCATCCAGGCTGCGACGGAGACGTGTACGCGTCGGCAGCCTGCACCGTCTTTTCGGGGTTCAGCTTCACTGCCACACCGGAATGTGGATTCCCAGGGGCTGGGCTGTGCCCTGGGTGACCGAGGGGGACACGAGGGTGGCATGACCAGCCACTGTGCCCAGCAGTGTGGGCATGTGGAGCAGAGCCCAGCTGGGCTGGTAGCTCTGGGGGCCTCTTTTGGCCCACACCCCGATTCCCCTTGGTGTGTGCCAGTGTCCAGAGGGCAGCAAAGTAGCTCAGTCTTAGCAGCTATTGTTTTTACAACTTTTTTTTTTTTTAGACTTGGTCTCCAAGTGTAGTTCAGGCTGGCCTTGAACTCACCTTGATCCTCCTGCCTCAGCCTTCCGAGTGCTGGGATCAGAGGGGTGCTTAACCACACCTGGTTTGCCGTTGTTTTTATATGGTATAAGAGTCAAAACGGGAGATTTGGTTGAGCCTAGTGGCCCTGGGTGGGGCAAGAAGACTGGGAGCCTGTAGGAGACGCACCTTCGGTTCCCTGTAATTTCTGCTGCGGTCTCCTGGGCACTTGGGACGTGCAGCACCACTCCGGGAGCGCTGAGGGCTCTTTCCCCTTGAACGCTCACTCTAACCCTGCCATGGTCTCCCGTTCCCATTTTACAGAGCTCAAGGCTCAGAGAGGATGAGCGAATGGCCTGGGTTTAAACAGCCATGGCTTGGACCCAGACTGTTTGCTTCATCTGTCTGAGCTTCTCTGGCCCCTCTGGGGCCCACCCATGCCCGGTGCCTCTGTGTGTGTGTGTGTGTGTGTGTGTGTGTGTGTGTGTG